GTCTCAGGTCCAGCTCTATTAGTTGAGTAAAGGAATCACACTATATATTAAGATTAACATCTAGCAAATCTAATTTGCTTTGGGTAGGGTAGGGTGTTAAGAGAGTAGGGCTCTTAGGAGAGTTGTGGCTTTCACTTTTAATTCGCAAAAGCGTGAATTTATAGGGAAGTATAGTGGATTGTAAACAACCAAAGAGAACAACTCTAAAAACGATTTATATAGATTCAAATATAGAGAAAAAAGGCCTATGAATAAAAGTGCACTTTTTTTTTCCAAATCGGTTAAAGGTTTTAAGATATTTGAGATTAAACGTTATTGAGTTTAAATAATACTGGACTAAATGACTTCCTAAAAAGTCTAAATTCAAGAGCTTACAAAGGCCCAATGAGCCTATCTCTACTAGAATCAAGGCCAGAAGGTGTTATGCCATATAGATTCTATTGCACTACACCCAGGTGAGAATCTAGCAAGTTGCAAGAGAGACAAGAAAAAATTACAAAATTACTTAGGGACACTTTGTTGCTAATAGCCGACCATGAGCTACAAAGAAAGCTCTCTAAAGCACTCCAAAGCTTACAAAAAACTAAGTGCAGTCTCATTAACACTCATCATTGCTTATTAAAATCACTTTAAAAAACACTTTTAAATGTTGTTAAACACTTCAGAAAAAGGGTGAGGCCTAACTTAGCCCTCTTTTTTATAGTTAACTCTCCTGCTAATTTCCTCTAGATTTCTACTATCCTCTAATATATATTCTCAGGGAATATTTGTGCATCTCCACCTCACACCTTACATCGATCAAACATAACTTCAACTATTTTCAAGGTCTGAACAGTATAACTACATTGTCTAAGTTTTCTTTAGTTCAGCAAACACAATAACAATCTCTAGTGCAATTTATACTCAGTTCCAAGGCTACATAGGCATAACAATGAGTATCAAACTCACTAGATTGTATGGTAGCCACTCCTAAACTCCTTGACTATCCAACCCAAGGAGACGACGGGATTTGGGATTTCCATTGTGTGCAAGGGCACAATTTGGTGCCAAGGCTTTGACTCCAAGAAAGTGTTTAGGGTGGATCCAACACCAGGAAATAGTAGCATCTAGCAAGAGGGATCTCAAGCATTAGAAATGGTGGCAATTGGGTTTGGCCACTACCTTTGTGCACGAAGGTGAGGTATTGAAGCTCCAAGAGGGTGAATGGGTGAGTGTTGGCACTGGACCTGTGGTTCACAACGTCCTGGCCAACAGCCACCACCTTGAGCGCCATGGTATACTTGGTGTGTACTGAGATTTGGAGCTTGGGAGCTCGTTAGGATTTTATAGACCTGGAGAGAACACATGAGCCCTTTGGGGTGATTGGAGACAAACAGTGGGCTCTAACTATGCTATTTCATGCAAGGTGTATGATATTGCTAGGTGAGATTGGATCACTATACATGTAGGTAAGGAGGAACTTGAGTTCCCACTGGTTGTGGCAACAAATGATGGCTGCGTGTATCTGAAGAAAAAGCAAGGTGATGGCTGCGTGTATCTGAAGAAAAAGCAAGACTATGATATAGTGGAGATTCACAAAGCCTGGGTTGACTGGGACGGAAAGTCATTCAAGAATAAAAAGCAGGGATTGAAAATCTGGATGTACACTATACATACTTTGCCAATGAAAATACCATAGGCCAATCTTTGAAAATGGCTGTTTCTGTTTTAACAGTTTAGTACCATTAAACATAATTTCTATACCTGTTGCTAAGAAAAACAATAGCAAGTAAATCTTCATGCAAGTTCCTGGATCCTGATGGAGGTGAGGGTCAAGTGCTTGTCAGCTTCACGGTTTATGACTTTGATTTGCAAGCAACAAGAGCTCAGTAGCCAAAGCTTGTCATGAGCAACCATCTATCCATTTGCCATCATCAGCAGAAGACGCACAAAAAAAAACCGGAAGCCTATGCTCTGGCTGTTGTTGGCTCTTGCAAACTGGAGTTATTGGGAAGGGTAGAAACCTTGCAATTTAGTTCCGTGGCTAAAGTAGTAAAAGATTTTCACAATTTCAAGAATTATTTCCATGTTATATTCATATTAATAATTTTTTGTGCAGTTTCTTTAATAAAAACGAAAAGAAGAAGTGTTAGTACATGTAATAAGGTTGATAGTGATTATTTGAGCTTGGTAAGTTCCTCTTTTAACCTGGAAATGATGATCTTTTTTTATTTCTTATTTACTCGATCTTTTATGTTATACATTAACCCTTTCTATTTATTTACTATATTATATTAATGAAATAAATAAAACTATCAAAATTTGGTAGTTTAACATTGTCAATTTTATGCCTTTTCTTTCAGACATGATTGCTTTTTCCATGATACATTTTATGGTGAAGTGAGAAAGTAATAAATAGGTAAAATAAGGGGATTTATGATGTATAATTATTTTTTTATGATACCATCATTTGGTTTGTGAAGTTTGGTACATTCTTCTTATCAGCAAAACTGGAAGCTTCCTGAAGAGTGTGTATGTTGTTTGCTATGGCGCTCAATCATCCACTCTATTGCACTTCAGCTCCATCACTATTTTACTCCAAGAAGACAATCGTCCATCTACATGCGCTATCGCTGCATCACCATTTTCCTCCAAGAAGACAGAAGTACACGGCATCACCATTTTACTCCACGAAGACAGAAGTACACGCGACGAATATGGTACCCGCCAAAAGAAGCCTACGACAAAGGTTCATGGCTGGAGGTTCGCCAAACGACTTGGAGACAACGTCACAGACCTTCGTTCTTGGGCTTCAGCAATTTAAAGGAGGGGCTGTAGAGACCTGGAAAGCAAACGAACCATGGAAGAGTTTAGAGAATGGTTTGCTAGAATAGTACCACTACTACTCGTAATCTCGCTCACAACGGCGAATTACTTGCCTCGACATCATGGAAGTGTGCTCCTCGAAAATGGCCTGGGAAGAACACCACCAATGGGGTAAGTAAGTTTCGATTAGGAATAAGAATTGCTCCATGGTGTACCTCAGGTGGAATGATTTCAACCATTTCCATAACAAGATCAATGAAACGATCGTTCGCGAGACGGGTATCTCCGCGTTAGAACGATCTCTTTTTTGTTTACCCCTTTACTTTGTGTAGTCGACGCTATCGTCTCAACTGGCCTGGCAGCGCTGGGTTACAACTACATCAACATTGGTAACGATATTAGAGATCAATCAGAGTGTCCTGGATTCTCTCATGAAAAAAAAAAACCTTGCAGATGATGAATGGGCCGAACAAAGTCGAGACAAAGAGGTCTGACCAGATTACTCGCAGGCAAAAGAGCTAAAACTCTCCAAGAACTGCAGGGAAATCTTCAACCACGCAAGGACAGGTTTCCATCCGGGATAAAAAATCTTGCAGACTACGTGCACTCCAAGAACCTGAAGTTTGGAATTTACTCGGATGCGGGGTACATATGAGCTAAAGTCTCTCTTTCTCACTCTTAGTTTTTTATCTTGTAGGCGATTGACCTGTGCAAAAACTCAACCTGGATCACTAAACTTTGAGAACCAAGATGCAAAGACCTTCGCAGCATGGGTATGCCAGATGCTCAAGAAAAAAAGAAAAGGAGAAGGAATTGCTAATGGTTTTATCTATCTATCAGGGTGTAGACTTTCTAAAGTATGATAACTGTCACAACGATGGAGCCTCACCAAAAATCCGGTAACGTACCACAATGTTGTTGTTTTGTTGCTGCTCAATCCTTGCACATCCAGGTACCCGAAAATGCAAAAAGCCCTCCTCGCAACCGGTCGACCAATTTTCTACGCTCTCTGTGAATGGTACGCAAAAATAAAAATAAAAATAAATCTACAACCCATGAGAGTTTTCCAAAGAAATCACGCGATCGAACCTTTCAGGGGCTACGAAGATCCGGCTCTCTGGGCTCCCGGCGTGGGAAATAGCTGGAGAACAACGGGAGACATCAAAGACAATTGGCAATCGTAAGAAAGACCAACACTAGAAATGCTGACCTGATAGATACTTTCATTCCCCAGGATGATCGTGCGCGCGGATCAGAACGACAAATGGGCGAAATACGCAGGGCCCGGCGGCTGGAATGGTAATAGATCGCGAAATTGTCACAAAGAGCAAGAGAAAAAAAAGAGAGGGAATCTGACATTGCGCGCTCGCATTTCTTTTTCTTGTTCTAGATCCCGACATGCTCGAGGTCGGCAATGGCGGCATGAGCTTGGAGGAGTACCGCGCACACTTCAGCCTCTGGGCGCTCATGAAGGTCCCGATCGATCGATCGAGAATGCCACCAACTTCTAACTCTCGTTTTGTTCCAGGCCCCATTGATCATTGGCTGCGATGTGCGCAATCTAAAGCAAGAGTATCTCGACATTCTCATGAACAAGGAGGTCATTGCTATCAACCAAGGTCTGAGAACCAAGAAATTCCTTCTCTTCTCTCTTCCATCGCTTACCAATATTTTTTTTTATTTTTTTTTTTGTTTCCAGATTCTATGGGAGTCCAAGGCAAAAGAGTCAGCAGGAAGGGCGCTCTAGAGGCAAGACTAGTAATGAAACTTCTATCGCGATTGTCTCAAAAGAATCGTCCAGGTATGGGGCGGACCTCTCTCGCAAGGTAAATTCGTGGCGCTGCTACTCAACCGAGGAGATTCCACCGCCAAGATCCGCGCGTACTGGGAACAAATCGGTGCAAAGCCCGGTTCTTCTGTCCAAGTGAGAGATGTTTGGGCGGTAAGTGGAAGATTTTCATCCTAGAGTCTCTGGACATAGATTTTTCTTCTTTCCAGCACAAGGATTTGGGAGCTTTCTCGCAAGGCTACATTGAAGAGGCTGTGGACGCGCACGCCATCAAAATGTACGTGGTGGTGCCAAAATCATAATATTTGAAAGGGATCGAATATACTCTGCATTTCCCGCCAACTTACGTCACCTAATTCCGCCAAATTTAAATTGGAAGCATATGCATTTAGGGCAGCTTCTAAATTCCAGGGTTTGCGAGGGAGCCGACAGCATTCTCACAGCGATGGGCGCCGGGAAGAACAAGCTGGAGGAGCTGCTAGAATCGTCCGGCGGCTGCGCGGTTCTCGATGGCGGATTGGCGACGCAGCTCGAGCACTGTGGCGCGGATCTTAATGATCCACTGTGGAGCGCGCTGTGCTTGATCACAAGGCCACAGCTGATCCAGAAGGTCTGGTCTGTTAGGAATCGTCGTCTTTGCGTGAAATTTTTCTCTCGTTGTGTCCAGGTTCATTGGGATTACCTGGAGGCAGGAGCGGACATACTCGTGTCGTCGTCTTATCAGGTTTGAGATTGGAAAAATAGTGTTTTCTTCGTTTTTTATTCGCAAAAGAGTTCTTTTGCTCGCACAGGCAACAGTCCAGGGATTTGTTTCCAAGGGCCTCTCCGAAAAGGAAGGAGAGGAGATGCTCAAGAAAAGCGTGGCGATCGCTTGTCAAGTGCGTGACAAGTTCTGGGACAAAGTCAAGCAGAACAACAGCTCGGGAGAGATTCGCTACAATCGAGCTTTGGTGGCGGCTTCTATTGGGAGCTATGGAGCTTACCTCGCAGATGGCTCCGAGTACAGGTATCAAAACTCTCGAAGTAATTCTCTCGGTTTGATCAAACTTCTTTTCGTTTCGCAGTGGCCAGTATGGCCCGGAGATGATGAACGTAGCCAAGCTGAAAGGATTCCATCGCAGGCGCTTACAAATTCTCGCTTCTTCTGGAGCAGATTTGCTAGCAATCGAAACGATTCCATGCCAAGTCGAGGCCCAGGTTTGCCTGTTGAGTGTTTTTTTCTTGCCATAGCTCAGGAATTTTTCCAGGCACTGGTGGAGCTTTTGGAAGAAGAAGATATCCAGATTCCCAGTTGGATATCTTTCAACTCTAAAGACGGTGCCAACGTCGTGAGCGGCGATCCATTAAGCGAATGCGTCGCTCTGGCAGCCAAAAGCGCCAAAGTGGCCGCCGTCGGTATAAACTGCACGCCTCCTCGATTCATACACGGCCTCGTCTCCACTGCTCGGAAGGTATTCCAACTCTTGAACTTCTATAAGCTTTCGATGCGATCAAACCAAACAGGTGACGGACAAACCGATAGTCGTCTATCCAAACAGTGGAGAAACGTTTGATCCCGACGCCAAGCAATGGATCGTAAGTTTTCCAGTTCTTCTCGCAGCTCTTTTGAACTTCTCTTTCGTCTTTCCAGCCGGCTACCGGAGTCTCGGACGTGGACTTTGTGTCATACGTCGGAGAGTGGAAAAAGGCCGGAGCTTCACTCATCGGAGGCTGCTGCCGGACAACTCCAGCGACAATCCGAGCCATCAAGAAGTCGCTGCAAGTAAGCCTGATTTGAGCATAAGTACCAGTTTTGAGAGGCTGAAAGAGAAAGGTAAGTGTGTGACGAATTAGTATTACACTGGCAACGTATGGCAACGTAACATCAAAGCCTATGAAGAAGCCCGGACCGTATATCTGTGTTTTGGAGCTGCGTCTATCAAAGCAGCAACGTTTATCACTTGGTGGCGGAGAAAAAAAAGTGAAAAGAATACCTCGAACTATTTCCCGGGTGTGAGAAGAACCTCGGGCTTCTTCGGCTTGGAAGGCGTCGAATTCGTAGACGCCGAGGCAACCGCAGTGGCAGCAGCCAGCGACGCGGCTCTTGCAGCCTCGTCCAGCCGTAGCAAGCCCCGAGTTGGAAGAATCGCCTCGGGTATGATCTCGTGCGTGGCCCGCGCGTAGAGAGCTCGGGCGGCGGCGCCGGCGGAGTCTCTCGTCTCCGGGGACGAGCTCGGGCCCAACAGGCAGTGTCCCAGGATCTTTAGAATCGGCTGGAAGAGCTCCCACGGCAGCGGTATTCTCAAAGTTCGCTCTTTGTGATCGCCATCCTCGTCCTCGTCGTCGTCGAAGCTCTGGCGTGAGACGAAGATGCTGGTCGACGACGAAGGACCCACTGTGGTGACGTGCCCCGTGAGAGTCACGTCCGGCCCGGGAGCGATGGCCTGGAGCAGCGCGAGCTTGGCCACCTCGTCCACCCTCTCGGCCCAGGAGCAGCCCCGCATCGCCCACTCCCGGATCGCGCAGCAAAGCTCGAGCTTGGATCTGTCCGGCATCGCTGCGATCTTCCGGTGGAAGAGGTCCAGCGCCACCCCGACGATCGCAGCCCTCTTGGTCGTCTTGACGGCCTCTTGTGGCTGCAAGGACGGGGAATAGTACCCGGCCTTGATCTCGGTGGCCGAGCTGGAAGGAACTCTTGGCGTGTGATAGAGACTGGGCTGCGAGAGATTGGGAATCGTCACGAGAATTCCCTTCCCCTGGCGGATCTTGTGCTCGGACGAGTAGAGCGCGAGGAGCACGGCCTCGAATCCTGAGAGTGACTGTCCGGGCTTGCTGGCCGCGCGGGGGAGGTACGCGTTGCAAATCGCCGGCACGAAGCGCACCACCACGCTCTGGAGCTCCGGATCGCCCGAGTGGTATGTCTCGTACATCCACTGGCAGAGCTCATCGTCCCCTTTCCCTGCCCCCGGCGAAGATAGCTTGGAGATCACCACGTCCGCCACGGCCGAGTCGCCAAGAAGATCCCGCGCCGGGGTCTCCGAGGCCCGCAGCGGCTCCAGCGAAGGAAATCCGCCGAGAATGGCCGACAATGCGTCGATCCGAGCTCGAGCTTGAGTGATCTCGCTCCACCATGACTGAGATTCCTGCTGCTGCTGATGCTCTTGCATCTTCTTTACCTGAAATTTCGCGGCTAGCGCCTCGATCCGCTCGATCTCTCCTCCATCGTGCCGCGGGAGACGAAGAGAAATAAAAACCCTAATCTTCTGTTAAGCCCTAAATTCCCGGAAGACAAGAACCCTACCTTGTTTTGCTCGATCCGATGCGCTACTGCTACGAATCGCAGCAGTCGGAGCTCGTATCGGTGCATAGGATCTCCCGGAGGCAATGCAAGGGATTTGCGAGCGAGGCGGCGCGGCTTCTTCCATGGCTGCTGCTCGTGATCTCTGCGGCATTTCACTTGGTGGTCGGTATTCCAGGGAGAAATTTTGAGAATGCTAGGCTTCTTCTCTTCATTCCAGGAATTGCGTAGCCTTGCGCTGCTCCTTGCTACTTCTTCCACAGGATTGATCCTCCGGCGCCGGTTTCTCGTCACGGAAGGTATGAATTGGAATTGCTCGTTTGGATTGAATGTTTCCTCGCGTAAATTCCAGAGGCTGTGGTGCTCATGCCGACGCTGGGAATCCAGCTCCAAACGAAATACACAAGGTTTGCCACAAAGATTTCTCCTCCTCCTTCTCTTTGTTCTTAAGACCGCCACAGTGGGAAGGCTCGCTATAGCTTCATACCAATGCAAAAGCTCTTGGCCGCGGTGATCAACGAGGCAGTGACGCCATTTTCGTGCTACTTCTACCTGGCATTGGTACTCCACCAGGAGCCCGCGCTCACGCTCGTCTTCGAGGTAGATTTTTCCACTCTTTTGATCTAGGCAGCGAGTGATCTTGGTTCTTGGTTGCTTTGATCCAAGCATTTCAGGCCTCCACTGGCGATGCTACGCCCCATCTGGAGTGATCTAACGCACGAAATCGAGCAATCTAAATCATGAAATGGTAGTGGGAATGATTAAATAACGTTTAGTGTCGTTAAATGGTCAAAATGGGTCAACGAATCTATGACCGAGTCAACATAGCTTTGGTTGGGAGGTTCTTTCCAGATAGGAGTGAGAAATGTAGGTAGAATGGCGGCATTGTAAGGAGCGCAACGATGACTAGCTAGCTAACGAGAGACTTCTATACATATTCCCTCCATCCCATCCATCTCGATCCATTCCTCCAGTTCTAAGCTCTTTGGATCCATGGCGGAGGAGGACGAATGGTCGCGCAAGGCAGGGCGGGAGACTAGAGGCGGCTGGATCTGGTGGCTGGTGGCGATCGTCGTCGCGGCAATCGCCATTGGCTCCATCGTAGGGATCTTTGTTGCGCAGCATCGCAAGGCGGGCGGGCGCAATGGCGGCGGCAATGCCGCTCCGTCCTATCCGGCGTTGCAGCCGCTCGGATCCGTGGAGCGCTTCTCCAAGCCCTTGGAGCTCGCCATGCGATTCTTGGATGCGCAGAAATGTGAGTAGCGCGATCCCTCTTTCCTTCTCGATTCTCTCGATTTTTCACTAGAATCTCCAAGATCGATCGATCTTGCTCTGATATTTCGAAAGATCTAGGCTCTCTTCCCTCTCCATCTAGATCTCCCCTGGATCTTGCTCCAATATGTCCAAGATCTAGGCTCCCAAGATCTAGCCGCTCATCAATGCTCGATATTTCGCAGCCGGGAAGCTCCCCAAGGACAATCCCATTCCATGGCGCGGCGATTCGGCGCTGCTCGACGGCAAGGACGTGGGCCTGGATCTCAGCAAGGGGATGTTCGATGCCGGAGACAACGTCAAGTTTGGATTCCCCATGGCCTTCACCGCCACGATCCTGGCATGGAGCATCCTCGAGTATCGATCCGGCTACAACGCCTCGGGCCAGCTCCAATCCGCGCTGGAATCCCTCCAGTGGCTCACGGACTACTTCGTCGCCGCGCATCCCTCCAAGAACGAGCTCTTCTTCCAGGTGGGCAGCCCCTCGAGCGATCACGTCTGCTGGGAGAAGCCCGAGACCATGGACACGCCGCGGCCGTGCCTGAGCGTCAACACCTCCAAGCCCGGCAGCGATGTGGCGGCTGAGACCTCGGCCGCCATGGCCGCCTCCTCGCTCGTCTTCCGGAGTGACAACTCTTCCTACGCAGACGAGCTGCTGGGCCACGCCAAGGATCTCTTCTCCTTCGCGGATGGCTTCCGGGGATCTTACACCCGGAGCTTCGTCAAGGATCAGCAGTTCTACAACTCCACCGGCTATGGCGACGAGCTTCTCTGGGCGGCGGCGTGGCTGTATCACGCCACTGGAGAGGAAGAGTTTCTGGAGTACGCTACTACGGGGAAAGAAGCTTCTCCCAATGCTGGATGGGGGAAAGCTCCTGCGTGGTTTAGCTGGGACGACAAGGTGGCTGGCTTGCAAGTAAGTGAAGAACTAAGGAATTGTTTTCTTCTTCTAGCACGTCCAAGTTCTTCTAAGTATCGATTTCTTTTCGCAGGTGTTGTTGGCAAGGAAGCATATCTTCCAGCCGCAAGAAGCAAACACCAAAGTTGGCGCGGCGCTAGATAAGTACAAATCCACTGCTGACGAGCTCGTCTGTGCGCTGCTTCCGGATTCACCAACAACGAGTACCAACCGAACAAGAGGTACGACACTCTACCTCAGCATCGCTATCAGAGAGTTCTTTTTAGTTCTCTTGTTCACCGTTGTCTTGTTGTGGATGAATTCCAGCCGGAATGATCTGGGTGAGCCAGTGGAACTCGATTCAGCACGCAGTTAACTCGGCATTTCTGTCCTGCCTCTACGCGGATTACCTCTCCAGCGCTGGAATCACAACCTTGAGCTGTTCCGGGAAGATCTTCGAGGTGGAACATCTTCGCGAGCTCGCCGGCTTCCAGGTAAAACAATACATTCTATTGAGTTTGCTGACGTTGTTTATCTACAGGCCGACTATATTCTCGGCAAGAATCCAATGGGAATGAGCTACGTTGTTGGATATGGCAAGAAATACCCGCTGAGACTACACCACAGGGCAGCATCCATACCTTCGACCTTGAGCGAGGTGGAGTGCAAGGAAGGTTTCCAATACTTGCACACATCAACTCCGAATCCAAACATTGCCGAGGGAGCGCTCGTCGGTGGGCCTTTCCAGAACGATAGCTTCGTGGACGACAGGGACAACTCCATGCAAAACGAGGCCACGAGTTACAACTCTGCGGGTCTCGCAGCGCTCATGGCTTCTCTCTTCGCCGCTGCTCCAAAGCTTCCTTCGCAGCTCCTCACAGCACAGTGATGCAGGTATGCACGATCTCCTTGACGGTTCTGACGCTCGTTCGTTCCTTGCAGCGCGATCGAAAATTTTGGCTCGTTCACAATGATTTATAGGTACCTCTTTTGTTTGTATACCGTATGATTCTTATGTATATATCTTATGGTTATTTCACGATCACGGCGAGGTGTTTGCCATCTTCGTATCAGACAGCTTGTTTAGCGCCGCCTGCCAGAGCTTCCCGAGGATTGGGATTTCCCCTTGTCAACAACGATCACCACCCTCCGTGACAAGGTCTGTATATCCTTCTCAATCTGGCCCAAATGCTCCTCGTACCTGATCCAACAGATCCATAGTAAATGGTCAAGTAAACTAGGATCATGGCTAGGAAGGAATAAGGTGGTGATGATAGGCACCTCTCCTTCCGTTTCTTCTTGGCCGGAGTGTCCAGCGAGAATGGCAACTTCTGGTACTCCTCGTTCACCTGTTGCCACTTCTCTTTGAGCAGTATGATCAGCTCGCGCTTCTCCGCCTCGTCCAGCCTGAAAGAGCCGAGATAGCTCGATCAAACCGACGCTTGAAACATCTGGGACGGTGGAACTTACTTGCGGGAGTTTGGATGCAGGCCACCAAGTTGCTCCAGCCGGATAGCAGCTTGCATTTTCTCGCGCAGTTCCACACTCGCATTATTGAACTTGACGAGATACTCCGGAACTTTGCCATAGTCCGACTTGTCAACGTAGAACTTCACCGGTTTGGGCAGTTTCTTGGGTGCTACAAGCATGGCTGTCTCAGAACTTGTAAAACTTGCTGCCAGTTGGCGAACTTACTGGAATGAATCATCTCCACAGCGTTGTCATGCACGTAATTCTTCCCACTGTTCAATCCCATTTTCTGTAAAGCGTGAAGAATATGATCTTGGATCGAAAAAACAAACAATCACACGGAAAAGTTGCCTTACGAGTTATGGTGAGACATGGAATCAAACCGGTTTTTCATGTGGAATGGGCGGCCTTTCCTTCGACTTGTAGCAGCAAGCTACTTTGGGTTCTGAAAAAAGAAGAATTTTTTTTTTTTAAAAAAAAAAGAACAAAGAACAGAAAAAAGGCTCACTTTTCTTATAATGTTGGCTTGAATGCTTCTTGAGAAATCTCTCCGTGTGAGGCTTGCGAGATCCCAGCGGTCGACCGAAAGTTGCCGCTGGTCTAATTTCATCGCGGCGAGTCAAGAAATTATCCGTATCCTCGTCATACTGAGAGAGGAGGCAAGACAAATCAAGGCCAGGATTGAATGAGAGAAAGGCTTACATTTGCTTTAGGGATGGGTGGCCTCTGGCGCACTGGCACGATAGGCGGGATGAGCTTGTAAATGCTCTCCTGGTTCTCGATCATCTCCAGCGATCCGCTGCCCTAACTCACGAAATGTGCCTCTTAAGAAATTAGGGCTCCTAAGGTCACAAAAGAGAAAAAAGATCTGTTGACAGTGGGATTCGAACCCACGCCCTTGCGGACCAGAACCTTAATCTGGCGCCTTAGACCAACTCGGCCATGTCAACCACGCTGATATCTTGCTAAGTTCCACCAATTCATGCGAATCTCTACACTTAAAAACGACTCCAAGAATTACCAATAATCTTGGCACGAGCATTTTCCATCGCTAAAGTGATGGAATCTACTCGCATCTCTCACGCTGATCCGCCGCCCCAGTGCCTTGGATGCCAGCTTGATCGTGGAGTGGCAATCGGAGCACACCCTCAAATTCTTGACGATGGTGAGCGGCGCTCCAGGGCTCGTCCTCGCCACCCCAAGCGCCATGGCCAGCCGCTCGCTGTGGTGCGACAGGATCCTCACCTTGTCCCCCTCGGCCACGTCATGCATCACCTCCGCGATCTCCGGGGAATGTCCCCCGTGCTTCCCCAGCAGCCGACAGATCCTGTCCACCGCCGCCAAAACCTCCTCTCTATCTGGATGCTGCGAGAGATCCCCGGCCACGAATCTGTAAACCCGCCCATCGATCCGGATGGTGCTAGCGCCCGGCTGCTTGGTCAGCCCCTTCTCGGCCATGAGCTTGCGGATCTTGGCACTCTCTTCGAATCTCCCGGCCTTGGAGTGGAGATTGGCGAGGAGAACGTAGGCCGTGTAGTTCCCGGGGCTCTGCTCGATCGCCTGCGTCGCGATTCGAGTGCCCAATTCCAGATCCTGCTGGTTGCGGCACGCCGCGATCAAGCTCGCCCAGACGAGATCGTTGGGCAGGAATGGCATCGAGTTCGCGAGCTCCTCGGCATCGCCCAGCTTGCCAGTTCTTGCCATGATGTCGATCATACAGCAGTAGTGCTCTAGGATCGGGGAGATGCCGTGATCGGCAACCATAGCAAGGAAGAAGCTCCTCGCGATCTTGACGAGCCCGACGTGGCCGCACGCCCCGAGGACGCTGAGGAAGATGATCTCGTCCGGCATTGCGCTGCCGTCGAGGATCATCTCCTGGAAGAGCTCCAGCGCGAGCTCGCCATGGCCGCTGTGGGCGAATCCCGCGACGAGCGTCGTCCAGGTGACGAGGTTGCGATCCGCGGCGTGGAGGGAGCTGTGGAAGAGCTCCAGCGCCTGATCTACGAGGCCGCCGTGGGCGTAGGCCGCGAGCATCGCGTTTCCAGCCACCACGTCTCGCTGCGGCATTCGATGGAAGAGCGCCCCCGCGGATTTCACGTCGGAGTTGCCCGCGGATTGGGAGAAGGCGGCAAGCATCGTCGTCCAGGCCACCGCGTCGCGGCACGGCATGCGATCGAACACCTCCTTGGCGCGATCCAGTTCGCCGTGGAGAGCCAGCGCCTGGAGCATCGTCGTCCACGAGACGGTGTCGCGCGATTCCTCCGGCATGGCCGAGAAGAGCACCTCCGCCTCGTCGATCCGCCCGGCCTGCGCGTACACGCCCAGCATCGCCGTGCGCGACACGATCGTCGGCTCCGGCATTCGATCAAACAGGCGCTTGGACTGGACAGCGTCACCCCTCTCGGCGTTCATCACGATCATCGTGTTCCAGGACACGGCGGTGGCGGCGGGGATCCTCGCGAACAGGGCCTCGGCTTCGTGAAACACCCCGAGCAAAGCGAATCCACGAATCACGGTCGTCCATGTGATGACATCCCGGCCGTCCATCCTCAAGAACAGCTTCATAGCTTCGTTCATATCTCCTCTCTGGGCATACGCCGAGACCATCACGTTCCATATAAATCTATCGCGCTCTGGTACAAGATCAAACAACTCTCTAGCCTCTGCAACTCGGAGCCTTAATCCCAAGGCGCGTATCATCATCGCACACGGATTTGGATGCCACTGCGGCATCTTGAGAACGAGACTGTAACCTTGATCCAGATGCCCGATCTGGGCATGCGCCCCGACGATCGCATTCCAGGAGAAGAGATTTGGGTGATGAATGGCGCGGAAGACCCCGACTGCGCAATCCAGTGCGGTGCTGCTGCTGCTGCATTTTCCGTAGGCATCGATGAGGTGATTGGCGAGAAAAGTGTCGCGCTGCAGGAGGTGTGCGTCGTGGGCGACAATGCTGGCGTGGATTTGCCTCACTTGGGCAGTGTCTTTCCCACAGGACTTGAGGGCCGATGCGATCCCCTGCCGGAAGCTCTCCCAGCTCATTTCTCCTTTGCAAGCCTCATCAGAAAGATGTGTTTCTTTACTAAACTCACAGTTTTTCTGAAGACCCCTGGCTTGTTTTGCTTGGAACGCGGACTGAAGATACTGATTGCCGTGACGCTATAAACAACTGCTAGGATCACCATGATGCCATGATGTAATAGGATCAAGGATAGTTTTGTACCTTTGTAGAGCCATCAGAAGGCTAGCTCGCATAGACGTGTTTATGTCTCTTTGGTGACACCAGACGATACAGAGAAGACTAGCATGGCCTCCGCACAAGAAATGGTCATCTATCTTGCTAGCTTTTTCTTTTCGTTTCGAAAGAAAAGTTTCAAAACCTGGAATGGATTAGAAGGGAAACAGGAGAATTTGTTGCTGAATATTCCATCTGTGAATCAACAATAAGGGCAAAAGGTGTGAAGCTGTATCGATGAGAATTGATGATATCATTGATGTGGTTTGGCCATGATTTGTATTCCAGGAAGATCACCTCTTTTATTTTGTTATTTTTTTCATTTTTTTTTTCTAAACCAACTAATAAAAATACATTGACCACAAGCATACAACAAAGATGAACAAAACTTTTAGCACAACCACAATGGTTGAGTTTAGATAAACAAATCTTTAGACAGTCATTTATTTGCCTTTTTTTGTTAATTTAAGTTTAATGCATGATTTAATTCAATTTTGTAAGGTGTTTGATTTAAAAGATGAGTTGAACATTGTGAATTATTTACATTTTTCAAGTTCATTTTCTATTAAAAATGCAAAATTTCTTTTTACATTTTCTGCTATTGCACTCAAAATAACTGTTAAAAGTATTAGTTTTGTAAAATTTAAATTTATCAAATTATATTTATGTCTATTAGTTTAATAATAAAACACACAAAATAAAAATCACAGTGATAATTCTTTTATACTAAATTCTTTAAGAAAAAAGTAAGATTCCAAATACTTAATTTTTATATTTAAATTTTTAATTACATAAAATAAAAAATTATTAGACCCCTTTACCCAAATAATAGGTAAATCCAACCAAAATGGGTTCATGTCATATAGTGTTGGGCCATTTCCTAAGCCGCGTTACACCTAGAAAATTCAAGATTTAAAATAATTTTTTCTATTGGACAAAAACTTTAATTTTATTCTTCACTTTATTTTTTTTAAAGATGTAACTAAATATTTTTGTGCAAAAGTATTATATGCTAAATAATCAATTGATTGAAAAATTTGTATACTCATATTATCATTACTCCACACTGTAAGTGCTTGAAATATGGAAAGGGAATACAAAAATGTGCATATCAATTAGCCCAAAAACCCTAACTTATATATAAGAGCGAGTGGTCCAGATTGAAACCAATCCGACAGCTGCCAAAATCCCACTACGCTAATATTAGTATACGGCATTGTAGCTGTACACTTGGCCCTCACATCATCCCCCCCTCTCAGAATAATGGAAGACCATCAGAGTTCTCTTGTAGACAGGCTGGGATCTGGAGGAACATCAGGAGGGGGCATCGGCGGATCTGTAGGTGGTATTAACTGCTCCTGATCCCTTTGTATGAAGCATTTCAACTGCTACACATGCAAAATCTCTGAAGGATCGGCCTGCTGGACGTTATGCTGAACCTTATAAACTTGTGGTCCAACTTGCCGCAACACCCGATATGGTCCTTTCCACTGTGCAAGGAGCCCTTTAGATAAACCACGTACCGTAAGATGGGGAAAACAGACTAACACCAAATCATCAACTTTGTACTCTGCAGTGTGAGACACAAAATCCCTAGGCCCCAAAGTGGAGCCGGAAAGGGTGCCACGTGGTAGTGGCTGAAGCGACAGCCAAACAAGCGTAACACGTTTGGACCAAAAGCTCCGACTTGAAAAGTCAAGAGCGGGAGTGGAACTCCCAACGAAGTGCTCGAGGAACGAGCACGAAGCGAGCAAAAAGCGAGGCTCCAAAAAGGGACCCAAAAGGACCAACACATGACACGTGGAAGTGTCCGAGATGGACTCGAGTTGGAGTCCGAAGTGGAGTCCGAGATGGACCCGAGTTGGAGTCCGAAGTGGAGTCCGAGATGGACCCGAGTTGGAGTCCGAAGTGGAGTCCGAGATGGACCCGAGTTGGAGTCCGAAGTGGAGTTCGAGATGGACCCGAGATTGAGTCCGAGATGGAGTCCGAAGTGGAGTCCGAGATGGACCCGAGATGGAGTCCGAGATGGAGTCCGAGATGGAGTCCGAGGTGGACCCGAGATGGACCCGAAATGGAGTCCAAGATGGAGTCCGAGATGGACCCGAGATGGAGTCCGAGATGGAGTCCGAGATGGACCCGAGATGGACCCGAGATGGAGTCCGAGATGGAGTCCGAGATGGACTCCGAGATGGAGTCCGAAGTCGAGACCGAGACCGGGACCGAGACCGAGACCGAGACCGGGACCGAGACTGAGACCGAGACCGAGACCAAGATCGGGACCGAGACCGAGACCGAGGCCGAGGCCGAGACCGAGCCCGAGCCCGAGTCCGAGTCCGAATCCGAGTCCGAGTCCGAGTCCGAGTCCGAGTCCGGAGCCTGAGAGGGTGAAAGCCCAAAGCGTTCGTCTCCCAGACCCTGGGGGGTTTGGTGAGCTCCAAAAGTATAGTAAGGGGGAGGACTGCAGTGGAGCCAGTTTGGCCAGGAAAGGCCAGTTTGGCCCAGGAAGGCCGGACCCAGTGTTGGGTGATGAGCTGCCCACTGGGAAGTCCAAGACTAGAGTGAACACGGACCGACAAGCGGGGTAGCTTGGTGAAGTGTTCAAGAGCCGGCTCTAGTTCCCCCGGGAGATCGACTAGCCGATGCTCCCAGTCCAAGTGTGGGTGGCACTACCTACTTGGATACCTGGTGTGGCTCAATGGAACCCGCTCTAAGCCCATGGCTAGAGCACCCAAGGGCGGAAGGCGAGGAGAGTACCCAGGTGGCTCGCGTAAGGCCACGGTGTTCCGAAATGTTGTCCCAAAGGCCCAGACTGTGGAAAGGAAGAGGAACAGTCCTCTGGGGTAGTGACCAAGGACACAGTCGTGTGGTGAGGAAGTCCCAGAGGACCGTGGGACTTAGTGGTCGGGCCTGTGGGTCTCGATCCAGTGGCAGTGTTGGCAAACACGGCCAGGGGCAGAAAGGGACTTAGTGGGGATTGACAGAGGGATATTGGGGAAGGCTATTCCCCTTGTCAGTGGGCATCCTAAGGATGCTAAGGAGTGGATCTGAGATGACCACTCACGGATGGTTTGCCTAGTCTTGGAGAGCCAAGACGGTGATGCAAGTGGTATTGGACTACCAGTGTGGCAAAGGTGATTGGGCATGGCCTTAGCGTAATGGGCTGCTATGTCGGTGGTACCTTTGAGTGTCGGTCATGGGATCGGACACGTGGAGCACTTGGACCAAGTGCAAATGTTGAGTGGCATGGATGCCATTCTCGGGGCTAGCAAGTCCCAAGTCCTGGATTGGACTTATGGAGGTTGTGAATGAGACTCCTCCAAGTGGTCAGAGGTGTGGTTAAGTGACTAAAGTAGAATGGAAAATTTAGTCGCTTACATGCAGGTGCACGATGATGGGAGTTGTATTGCCATTGTTGTCCCACTTGTACACGGCCTAAGTGTTCGGTAGACTCCACTTGGACAAGTGGAAGAATGCTCGTCAAATACTAATCCCATGACCTAGCATCTGTAACTCGTGGCAATTGCGAAGGTAAACCTAGCTCCATTGGTAATATTGGATCATGACCATATAGGAGTTTATATGGTGAAGCACCAATAAAACTCTGCATCCCTGTGACATATGCATACCGAAGAGACGGCAAATAACCATCCCAGTCCGAATGCTGGAAGTTCACATACTTCACAATCATCCCCTTGAATGTCCGAACGAGCCGTTCCACCAGACTGTCTGATTGTGGATGATAAGCACTCGTGAAAGTGTGGCGTATCCCCAACCGAGACGTCAAAACATGAAATGACTCAACCATAAATGTAAGACCATTATCCGAAAGAATCTGCTCTGGACAAGAATGCTGGAACACCACAAGATTGAGGAGAAAGTATCCAACAGCAGTTGCAGAGGCGCTAGCAAGAGCACCAACTTCAACCCAACGAGTCAAGTAGTCAGAAACAATAATAACATACTCATTGCCAACAGTTGACAGTGGAAAAGGTCCCATAAGATCAAACACCACCAACTCAAACGGACGGGAAATTGCAATTGACTCTAACCGTCCTTCTGCAGCCCGAGGGGGAGTATTACGAGCTTGGCACCAAACGCAGCTATGCACATACCGGATAATATCACGTCGCATCTCCGGCCAATAGAAAGACCTGCGCAACTTCTCGGTTATATGACGATGTCCCATATGCCCACATAAAACAGGAGAATCATGGTAGGCATGGAGAAACCGCAGAATAAAGATAGAAGGCACCATCAGCCGTAAATGATCATAAGGATCCATCCTTACAAAATAAAGAAGGCTGTCTTCAAGGCGATATTGAGAATGTAAATACCGGAAAGGCAAGTCATTAGCAAGTGATGCAGGATTCTCAAACCCATCTCGAAGCCTTCGAATCCACGGCTCAATCTTTTGAGCTTCGCAAACTTCATCAAGAGAAGGTAGATCTTGCTCTACACTTTGTGGACACTAAACGTCAAGTACAGCAACTGCCAACGGGACAAAATCCTCGTCTAGAAAATCCACAGAGGCTGGAACAACAGGCTCATCAGAAACATGAAAAGAGAATGGAAAAGGAAAAGGAGCTCGAGAAAGAGCATCAACATCAGCCATAGAACTCCCTGGGCGATGAACAACATCAAAATCATATATTTAAAGCTTCAAAGCCCATCGAGCAGTACGACCAACCAGGTTCTTCCGCTTCAATAATGAAGTAACAGCAGCATAATCACCTTCAAGTAACGTCCGAGAACCATGTAGATATGCATGAAGTTTCTCGAAACCCCAAACTGCTACTAAAGATTCTTTCTCTATCGTGGAGTAGTTCATTTCCGCTGGTTGTAATGTACGGCTTATATATCCAATAGGATGGCGCTGACAAAGCACACTCGAGCTCTCTTACATCAACACACCTCCAAAACCAATGTCAGAAGCATCCACGTGCAAAATAAAAGGTCGAGTGTAGTCAAGATATGCCAAAACTGGAGGAGTCGTCAATAGCTCTTTGAGATCCCCGAACGCTCGCTCACAATCCGGAGACCAAATGAAAGATGATGTTGATGACTTCAGCAACGCTCGCAACGGTGCAATGAGATCAGAAAGATGATCCAC